CGATTCATGTGCTGCGCCTGCCACCAATGAGGAGATGATCGATGAACGGACAAGCCTGTCCGCAATCAGACCAGCAAGCGTGAACAGCGCTTAGTGTGCGGCGCCTGCGACCAATGGTAACGGAGATGCACACAGAGACAGTCATCACTTTTATTACGTTTACAGATATTCTGTTGTATCTATGTATCCACTATGTAGATGGTATCATTTAACCTGCTATTCAATAGTTGTAGTGGCCGTTTCCTAGTAGAATAAATGCACGTATCCCCCTATTCTGTGGTCTTCTCTGATGAAGGGTTCAAGACGGAATTCCAAACGTCAGGCAAATAAACCTCTTGCTCCAGTGATTGTATCTTCTACTTCTACATATTTATTGTTATTTGTTACCTTCGCATGCAGAAGATATATTTTCAACATTACTATCGTTAGCGTATTACAGAATTCTGGGCTTATGTGAAACTTCAGTGATACCTATAAGTCATGCTTACACTCTAAAGTAGTTAGTTTAAGGTTGGGCATACTACATGCATGCGCTGGGTTCTATTCATATGTAGGCGGAGGGTCTTATGGAAACTTAAAACGCGAAGGCTGCGACTTCGGCTTACCCTTCTTATCCTCCTTTTTGGTACTATTAACATTTGAGGCGGAGGTGCTGGTGCCGGCTGGCCGATCAAGGCCAACGTTGGTTGGACCGGAACTGTTCACGGTCACGCCTACACGTGACGTGCCCGAGCGTTTCATAGACTTTGTCGTGGCCGGAACGTCAGCGATCTCGGAGGAGTCGATTCCCATGCTAGCGAGCTGTAAAAGCAGAGAGCAAAAGTCGTTATTGAGAGATCATTTGGCAGATTTGCTTAATTTAAGTTGACCCAATCGTGGAAAAAAAAATCGCAGCGTTCGGCGGGATTTGAAGCTGCACAGTAGAGAAGGCCTTTTACGCGAAGCCAATGTTCTCCCAGTTGAGCTACAAACGCCACACCTTGCACTGTGAATTTAATCACACTTGGATCGCTTTACCCGCCCAACTTTACCGCCCATATGGAATCCACCAATACGGAACAGCAAGCTGACTGTCCAAGCAGGATTTCCTAAGTAATCATCTAGGATCCACCAGAATGACTACTAAGGTGACTTGTTATTTAGGAGGTTTGGCAGATTTGCTTAATTCAAGTTGACTCAATTGTGAAAAAGCTTGCGGCGTTCGGTGGGAGAGAGCAAATAATGTCGGGTTTCCTTTGTGATAGGCTGGTACATCATCCAGACAAGACGTTACAGAGGTAATATCGCAGGAAAGTGGGACATAAAAGAACAGAAATGGGGACGGATCATCCGAAGTACACTTGGATTGGTTCCAGACACAGGAAAGCGCAATGTGACCTTTAGAAAAGAGTGCAAACGACAGCAGACTAATGAAGAGACGATGCGATGCGACTGAGAGAACCTCGATCAGGATAACTTTTTTAA